TGCATAAGCACAGAAAAATCCCATGAGATTTTTGAGCAGGGAATCTGTAAAGCATACCTGAGGCCATTTCTAGCTCACTCATGGGGAAAAGAAGATTGCCACATATGACATCAAGGTCTCTTGCCAAACTGGCAGGAGCAGGATTGAAGCTGAGCTTTCCAGGGAGCAGGTGAGCTTTCCATTTCTTGGGACGACTCTTCTCAAACATACACACGTAGATATTTTGGAGTGACTTACCAACTTACCTCCAAGTATGCTTTTGAGCCGTGACCAGCTTTATTCTCCTCTGACTATCTTCCATAGTATACTGGTGAATAATTTGTCTTGGACGCATCCAGCATCTTTCATCTGGAGATCTTAAGGAGACTTAATGACAACCAAGCTTCATTATTTCTGTTTTGTGTATGAGGAAACTGACTCACAGAGGATACAGCAATTTTCTCATTCATGCTGTGAGTTATTACCAGAACCATGAATGAAATTTAGGATGAAACCTTATTTCATAAACCATTAAAGCCTGTATCCTTTATAGGAGTGGAGTTTACTCTAATAATGACACCTTTGTGTTGAGAGTTCATTCCTTTATTCTGTGATTAAATCTTGACTTCTGTGGGGCAGAAGCACCTCACTACAATGACAGCTTGAGTTATTCTGCAATGCAAAGCAAGATGGGAAATGTTGTTGTGTGTTTTGGTGATGCCCAGACCATTCAGAGCTTATGGTTTTCATCCATCCCTCCATTTATTAATTTATTCATTTCATTATCATATGTCTGAGTCCCTATTACATCATCTAGAAAATGGGCAGAGTAATATTACCATTAGCAAAAGGCTGTTTTGAGAAGTAAGATAATTTCTAGAATGCACATTGTCTAGCACATAGTAAGCCCTTGCTCACAATAATTATTTTTTTCAAACAAGTAATTCCAAGTACCCCATGGGAAGACAAAAAAATGGTTCTTTTATAGCCCTATTTATGGGTGGAGAGGGCAAGGTTGCTTCTGAAGGGTAGATTAATTCTTGGGGAAGAGGCAGATCACTCAGATTAAAAACTGGAACAGAGCAGATGGGTCTCAGGTAGACCAGAGAGGGGTTCTCTGAGTTTGGACTATGAAATATCAGGAGAGCTAGGAAGGTACTGCTGGGTAGTGGATGTTAAATTGACGCGAACCACTTAGAAATGGGCTGGGGATGAAGAGACAGAGAAAAGAAACATAGACAAAATTCAGATAAAATGGGGTGGAGTTCCTAAGTCCTACACATCTACCTAGTTATGGTAGAATCAAAGCCTTATACACTGATAGGCCGGCCCGTTTAAATTCCCTACATTCTGTTTATTTCCCTGTTACTCTTCTTTCATATCGAACACAAGTTTTGTCCAAGTTCCTACCCGTCCCATCAGTGCTCAGGATATGCCGGGGACAGTGTTTAGAAAGAAGCAGCCAAACCTGGATGGAGCCACAGAGCAGTAAGAACACCTCTGAGAAGCGCAGATACAGGGAGAGCCTCTTTCTGTGGCTCCCTGGGGATGAGATGAGTTTGATGTTATCAGGAAACTCATTTCAGAGAGCTCCTGGCAGTTTCAGTCTTTTGTGTGCCCTAAAAACCGGGTTTAAAATCTCTCCCAATTCAGACACCAAATGCAGAAACTGTTAAGAAAAATGTTGATAGATTTCATTTCATAAAAGGTAAAAAATTCATGTGACAAAAAAACACCAAAACCAAAACCAAAACTGGATGACGGGTAACAGATTGGAAGAAAATATTTGCCAACTATAACACGTTTTAACATTACATTATAATAAGGAATTTCCATAATGTACAAAGATCTCCTCTAAATCAGTAAGGAAGGGGCGCTTGGGTGGCTCAGTGGGGTAAGCCTCTGCCTTTAGCTCAGGTCCGGCTCTCTGCTCAGCAGGGAGCCTGCTTCCCCCCATCTCTCTGCCTGCCTCTCTACCTCCTTGTGATCCAATGGACAAAAGGTATAAACAGGTAAATTCAGAAGAAATAGAAACACAAAATAGTCATCTTCAGTAGTAATGACAGGACTACAAACGAAAAGCAGCTGTCATTTTGTTTGCCCATCAGATTGGCAAAAGTTAAAAAAAGCTTATAGTAGTGAATTCTGGCACATGTAAAGGGATATTCAGAGTTTCTTCTGATAGTGAGAATGTAAACTGGTGTAGTCTTTTGAAAGGAGAGTGTGACAGTATCTCTCACTACTTAAGGTATGCCTACCTATCAATACAACAATTTCAAGTCTAGGAACCTATGCTATCAAAGTATGTCTACACAAGGGCAAGAATACAAGGATATCAACTGTAACAATGTTTGAGACACTGAACAAAATACTACTAACATCTAATATTTATTAGGGCCAGCACTCTTCTAAGCACTTTGTAACAGATGATATAAGGAAGCCGAGACTACAGCTAGGGTGTAGAAACAGCGGGATTCTAGCCCAGTTTGTCTCCAGAGTCTGCTATTAACTACAATGCTAAGAGATAGAAAATAAAGGTCTGGTATATCCGTACCATGAAATACAGTATAGCAGTTCAAAAGAATGAGGTTTACAGACATGGAGACCAAAGACATTTTATTAAGGGAAAAAATTCAACTTGCAAAAGACTATAAGGTCAGATGTATGGGAAAAAAGATACATTTGTGTGTATATAAAAATACATACGTATGAGAATAAGATAAAGGCCTTGACTGGCAAGAAAACTCCTGTGGTGGTGTGTAGGGAGACTTGAGAGATTAATTTTTTGAGGCATGTTTTTACCTGTGGTTTCTTTTAACTTTTACAAGAATACATTTGTGCGTTACTTTGGTAAAAAAAAGAATTGTTGGGTAGAACAAAAAAATAAATAATAAAACAAAAATGGTTTAACTCCTATCAAGAGATCAGTTTTTTTCCTATGTAGACAATAGTGCACATCTTGGTTAACAATCTTCTACAGTATGGCCTTTCCTAGTATATGTAGAAGATGCCTTTTCTCTGTATCTTGCTGATCACTACCTGTTCTTTTGAAATAAGGTGTTTATGTCCAGTATTTAGGGATATGGCTCCCTGTTAGCCCACCACGCTCCATAAAAATATACAGCCAGTTATTGAAAAATTAATTTGGAACCTGAGAATCACCTGGTCATCCTTTTGCTTTGCGTATTTTATTATCTTCAGGGAAAAGGATCTATAATCATGGATTATCTCTTATTTTGCCCCAGTGCAACAGCAGAAGTCTCTGGCTCACTTTGTTTTCCTAGTGTGATTGTAGAAGTTTGAATGAGTCACTCAACATACAGATTTAAAGGGCTTCCCTTAGGACCAGCAGTCAGTGTTATTATCTGAGAGGAAAAGGCTGTATTGGATGGTTCAGGCCCTCTTCCTGCCTAAGTCCAAGGGTGGGTGGCTTTAACCCAAAGCAAAAGATGCTGCTGGTGGAACATTTACTGATTAACTTGCTACTTTTACAAGGTTACAGCTTTGGAACTCAGCTGCAGATCTCTGTGAGCTTATCTCTGACATGCTAGTGGGAAGCGCTCTTGAGATTCGTATTACTTAATGAAGAGTAGATTAGAGCTTTTTTACAGCGGTCCAGCTAAGTAGTTTCTCAATTTTTGAAATTTTAATGTTCTCTTAAGCACCTTTATAGAAAAAAAAATTCTTCACTTAAAAACAACCGTATTCTCTTGTTCTTGCTGCTGCTCATTTTACATAGTTTTTAGTGGATACAAACTATTTTCTATCTGTTGTTCATGTAACCCTACTTCCAACACATCTTTTCAGGTACTTGCCAAAATTTCAGGCATTTGACATAAATCCAACATACCTGCCAGGATTCTGTTAATGTGACAGAGTTTGCTTGGATTATCCCCCAACCGTTGGACAGCTGGGCCCCTTCCCAGGTTTTGGTCATTATGAACATTCTGAACAGCCCCGCTATAAACATCTTTATGAAAGTTCTCTGCCCCCCTTTCCACCCTGGATTATTTCCTTAGACATAGACTTCCTTAAATGGATTTACTGGGTCAAAGGGGCTCAGTGAACAACTTCATAGCTCTTGGCACATATTTTTCAGATTGCGCCCTGGGTGGATCTGACCAATGGCACGGGCCGCGAGAGGGTAGGAATGCGGAGGAGCAGCCCCTATAACCGCTCTTCTTCCGTCCCCCAAAAGGCAAGGACCCGGAGAAGGCCTGCGGATGGAAGCCTTTTTCCATCGCCCTCTTATCCTCTTCCTGATCAGTGTTTATGCCCCGGCTGGGAGAAGACAGCTGCGGACCAGCACGAAGGTTTTCGGCTTCCAGGACTTCTGCCCTGGGGCTGAAGCAACTCTTCCCGGCCCTCCTCACCCGGACAAGGGGTCCAGTTTCCGACTCCCACGGCACACTCCCCCAGCCTTTCCACTAAAACCTTCCCGGCCCAGGCAGGCCCCTCGCCAGCGCAGAGCCCAGCAGGCGAGGGCAGCGACTGGCGGTCGCTATTATTTTGGCGCGGGTGATGCAAGGCCCGCATAGCTGCGCGCTGAGTCAGCGGGGGCGGGCCGACCCATCCCCCCCCAACCTCCGCGACCCCCCGGGCCCGGCGGCGGCGGCGGCGGGACCGGGCAGTGGGGGTGGGGGGGCCGGCCCTCGAGTCCACGGAGTCCCCCTCCCGGGCAGGGTCAGGCGGGGGCAGGGTCGCGAAAGACCCCAGCCCCGGGCGCGCTCTCCCCTCCCCCCCGCTGGAGCGAGGCGGATCAAGCGAGGCGGTCACCGCGCGCCCGGCCGTTTGCCCTCGGAGAACTCAAAGAGGGGGAGGAGGAAGCGGGGAAGGAAGGAGGATCCAAAAGGAGAAACGCGAAGCGGGACCCGCGGGAGGAAAAGGAAAAAAATGGACAAGGGGCGACAGGAGGCGGAGGCCGGCGGGCGGGGGCGGTGGCGGCGCGCGCGGCGGGGCGGGGCGAGCGGGGGCGCGCGCCGGCGGCCGCGGCCCGAGGGGCTTGTGGGTAGCGGCTGCGCGCGGCCGGGGACGGGAGCCGTGCGGGCGTGTGTGAGGGGAGCGGGCTTGTGGGACCGAGGCTGCCCCGGCGAGCATGGGGGCGGGCTGGCGGTGGCCGTAGTTGTCCGAGCCCGGGCCTCAGCCTCTCGGAGCGCCAGAGGGCGGGGCGGCCCACCCCGGCGGTGGCCGCGCCGCTTCCCCGCTCCCGCCCTCCAAGTCCTGAGGGAGCTCGCGGCGGACGAGCGGACCCGGCGGCGCGAATCTGACTGAGGGGCGGGGACGCCGTCTGCTCTTCGCGGCTCCCGGCCGGGCCGGGCGGCCCCCTGGGACCACCCCAGGCCCCGGACCGGCGCTGAGAGCCGAAGCCGGAGCTCGAGGCGGGCGGTGGGCCGTGGCGGAGCCCCGCCCGGAGCCGGCGGTTCGGGGGCGGCGCTAGGCCCCGAGGCGCCCGGGCCGGAGCGCGGGGAGCGGGAGTGCGGGGCCGGGCGGCGGCGGCATGAGCCGGCCCCCGGCGACGGGGAAAATGCCCGGCGCCCCCGAGGCCGTGCCGGGGGACGGGGCGGGTGCGAGCCGCCAGAGGAAGCTGGAGGCGCTGATCCGAGACCCTCGCTCGCCCATCAACGTGGAGAGCTTGCTGGTAGGTGGCCGGGGCCCGGGCGCCCTCCCCGCTCTCGTAGCGCCTGCCTCAGATCCCCCTCTGTGCCCACCCACCCGTGGGAGGGAGGTCTCGCCCCACCCCGTCCCGCTTCCGGCAGCGGGGCCCGGCGGGGAGGCCGGAGACTTCTGCGACCAAGTTCCAGCGGTAGAGACCCGCGTTTGGTCCTTCCCCTTCTCCCTCCTGGAGCGGGTGTCATCCCCGGCTGCCTCCGTCTCGGAGCCCTGGGAGGAAACACCCCTCCTCTCCTTCCCGCCTCCTCCCTCGCCTTGGGGAGGTCGGGAGCAGGATTTGCGGTCTTCGATTCACCGGACTAGGCAGTTTGGAAGACTGGCATGCTGCGTGGGGACGTGGGTCGAAGCAGGGAAACCTGATGCTCTCCCTGTTGGGAGTACCCACCGGGGGTAGATGACAAAGGGCCAGAGCCCAAGAATCGCTCTGAATTGTCGAGGAGAACAAATCTCTTCTTTTCATTGCGTCTCTTTCTTAAGGCAGGCTGTGGGATACAAACTAATCCCTTCGTGGAGGCTGCGAGTTGGCTCTTGCTTAAGAAAGGAGTGTTTCACGAATTAGAGAAGTGCACCGGAGGATGCCTTCTTATTTCTTATTTTTGTTAGGATGGATGATTGTATTTCAGTTTAGTGTGCAGTAGGGATGCATTTATGGGAAAAGGGGGTGCGGATGGTTACCCCGGGGAGGAGAAGGAAGTGGAAAAGATGCTCTGGATATTAAATTAACTCGGGAGGGCTAGAATTTGTGTGGGTGGTTCTTGGACCCTTTAGGCATTCTCTACCAGAACTCCTGTGCAGTCCTCGCGGCTGGGAGGAAGCTAGTGACTGTATGCGGAGAAAAACTGGGTCTCCTCCCTTGCCAGTGATTAACTGACTTTTCTTCAGAAGTCATTGGTTTTCCTTTGAGGTTTCTGGAATCATTTGCAGAGTGACTCAGTGGTGTTTGGCCAAAGTGCAGGAACTGACCCAAGAGTGTGTGTCTCTGTACAATGAGCAGAACGTAGTGATGTACTGTGTTCTGCCGGAGGTCTTTGACGATGTCTCTCACCGCTTTTCGCATCCGTGTGGTGTTTGTGTGTTCTCACGGCGTGCTGACACCCTGCTCCCTCTTGAGCAGTCTTCATCTGGGTGTAGGACTGGTTGCATGGAGGGCATAACTTCTAGGCCAAAAACAGAGACTCCGGGCTTCACTCCCAACATTTTCACTTTGGTATTTTGCTAGCAATACTTTGACCCAAGGCCAGAAAGTTCAGTTAAAAATAGTACCGCAAGTATTCATCAGGTTCAGATTCAATCCCAGATAGAATTTTTTTTCGGCACTTTTTTTACTGCACTTTCCTCTCGTGGGTCTTTACTGATGTTAATTACAATTATTCGGGTTATTCTGTGCACGATATCGGAATATCCTAAGCTAATTATTCCTGTAATATGTTCATCCATTCTGTTTTGTTAAAGTATTTTCTAAATTATTAAAATGAAGGCTGTTTTTAAAAGTGAAACATTACACGTTTAGTAAACAGTTTGGTCCCTCCATTGATTGAGTGCTCAAAACAGCCAAGACACTTTACACTTTAGTTAAGGTGATGTATTGTTGGTGTGAGAATTGACATTAGATGTTGCTGACTGGACAGACTCTGCTGTTGCTGTTTTTAGTTGATTAAATATTGTGGTTCCGAGTTGAAGTAGATCTTACCAGACCAAAAATTGTCCCTTACTCTTTTCTTTGGAACAAGGTTGCAGTGCTTCTATTGCAAATTGATGAGCTGAAAAATTTTTTAAAGCTGTGTTACAGTAAGTTAGCTTTAAATTATGTGTATTGGACAAAATAGTAGAATGAGTTTGGCTTTTTTGTGCTAACATTTACCTAAAATTTACCATTTGAACCATTTTTAAGTGTTCAATTCAGTGGCATTCATTACATTCGTGTCATTGTGCAACCATCTCCACTATCCATTTCCAGAAATTTTTGTCTTTCCAAACAAACTCCATGAATTAATCTTTTTAAAAATTAATTAATTAATTAATTTTTATAAAATAAACATATAATGTATTTTTATCCCCGGGGGTACAGGTCTGTGAATCGCCAGGTTTACACACTTCCATGAATTAATCTTTACAAGACTGTTATAAAAACATATTACCTGAAATACTAATGAAATAATGGCTGAGATCACTTTAAAGATTTGATACCTTGAGATTTAGCCTGTGCATCACAGTTGATCATCGTTTTACTGTATATAGCATTTCTTCTGGTTTTACTCTAGAAAATAAATATTTTTTCTTAACCGAGAAAACTTAAGTAATATAGTCAAATAAAAACACAGCCATGAGTATTAGTTACTTCATTTAGCAGCTCAGAAAGTACCACTTAAAATTCTATACCAAGATGACAAAAGTATGAAGATGAAATATACCAGAAATTACTGTAGAATTATTCTTAGAAGGTAAAACTCTCTTTGTAGGAAAAAAATGTTAGGTGAGATTACATGCAAAGTGAGATTACATGCAAAGTGCTTAGCTCAGTGCTTGGTCATAGTAGTACTATTTCGTTTAGCTCATTTCTGTGTGCAGTTAGCATAGTTAATTGCTCTAAGTTTCCTTTGAAAAGGAAAATGGTTTTCTTGGCAACCATTTCTTGCTATATAATTTTGAGTGTGTAGCATTATAATTTGTACTTGCCATCAGAAAAGTGCTAGCAGTCATCAGGCATGGGTAAAGCTGGATTCTAAGACTGTGTCAGTGTTAAAGCCCTAAATTGTTTTTTTTTTCTCTGCAGATGCTCCTTGCTTTACATAGGTCCTTAAATTAATCTGAAGAGAGTATATCCCTTTTGTGGTTACAGATTATGGGCTGCTTGGTATTATTTAAAAATAGGTTTTGTTTTGTTTTTTAAAGATTTATTATTGGAGAGAGAGAGGGAGTTTGGGCAGGGCCGGTGGGGTGGGGTAGGGGCGCAGGGGGAGTCCGGGACAGGGGCAGAGGGAGAGGAGAGAATCCCAGGCAGACTCCATGGAGCACAGCGTCTGACCAGGCTCGATCTCATGACCCTGAGATTTCAACCTGAGCCAAAACCAAGGGTGGGACGCTTAACTGACTCTGCCACCCAGGCTCCCCAAAAATAGAGTTTTGGGAGAGGTTTGTTTCTGTAATACTTTTTCTGAGGGGAGGGACTTCAGTGGTATGCTTTTGCAGGATTTGAAACTTTTTGGTAAACACCCATGTTTTGTTCTCAAGACTCAACTTCTCATACTGCTTTCCCAAATAATATGGTAAAAAGAATTGTGCTTTAATATTATGCCAGAGAGATGTCTTTCTTTCTATCTTTTTTAAGATTTTATTTTTTAATTAATCTCTACACTCAACATGGGGCTTGAACCTACAACCTTGAGATCAAGAGTTGTATGCTTTACTGACTGAATCAGCCAGGTGCCCCTGAAGATCTTTCTAAAGATCTGTGCCTTTGGGTTTTGATGTGTTTTCCTGAAAGAGTAAATGGTTATAATAACCTGGGATTCAGGCTTGAGTAAACTGTTACTTAAGACTGGTGTTGGGCTCCTGGATGGCTCCGTCGTTAAGCGTCTGCCTTCGGCTCGGATCATGATCCTAGGGTCCTGGGATTGAGCCCCTGCTTCTCCCTCTCCTACTCCCCCTGCTTGTGTTCCCTCCCTCACTGTGTCTGTCTCTGTCAAATAAATAAATAAAAACTTAAAGAAAAAGACTAGTGTTGATGGGGAAGGGTGATTAAAATTTTATTTATGAATTTCAGTGACTTGGAATACAAAATGCTTTATTTGATTGATTTCATTATGCCAGTAAACTGTATGAAAATGCTTCTTATCACAGTGCTTAGATTTCAGCTTGGTACTGGTTATCTGCCTAATTAAAATTTTATGTATATTTTTTCTACTGTTTAATAAGGATGAATATTATAAAGATAGAATAAAAATTGAGAAGTTGTTTTATACATGTTTTTCTTTTGCAAAATGAAAGTTGCGTGTTTATAGTATAAATGGGATTACTTTACTTTAAAACTGGTGTTTTGGGGCACCTGGGTGGCTCAGTGGGTTAAAACCTCTGCCTTCGGCTCAGGTCGTGATCCCAGGGTCCTGGGATCGAGCCCTACATCGGGCTCTCTGCCTGCCAGGGAGCCTGCTTCCCCATCTCTCGCTCTCTTCTTGCCTCTCTACCCACTTGTGATCTCCATCTGTCAAATAAATAAATAAAAATCTTTAAAAAAAAAAAACACAAAAACCTTGTGTTTTGATGATCATTAAAGACAATGAATTAGCTAGAGAGGTTTAAAAAAGTGATGTATGGAATTTGCTTTGAACCTCTTTGAAACCTCTTTGAACCTCTTTGAAAGTACAGGTCCACAGTACCTCACCCACAATTTTGCTATATAAAGAATCCTGAAAACCAAGTTTTGGTAAAACTTACCTGATCGTAACATCTGACCTGATCTGATGTTAGAATAATTATAATCACTGTGTCCCTCTTGGTATAATTGGAATAGCTTTCCTTGGAGAAATATTAATGTGTTTGATTTCAGGGTGACAGCAGATTTGCAGGAGGACTTTTAGGAATGTACTGAATATGGTATATGTACTTTATTACCATTCTAAAATCCAGGAAATTCTTTTTTTTTTTTTTAAGATTTTATTTATTAGAATGAGAGAGAGAGCATGAGAGGGGGAAGGTCAGAAGGAGAAGCAGACCCCCTGCTGAGTAGGGAGCCTGATGTGGGACTCCATCCTGGGACTCCGGGATCATGACCTGAGCTGAAGGCATTCGCTCAACCGATTGAGCCACCCAGGCGCCCCAAAATCCAGAAAATTCTGAATTCAGAAACATCTTGCCCCAACGTAAGGCCAGTGTAGACTTATATACATCTCAGACACTGTTGTTATAAAGAAATAGTGAATAATCTTGAAACCAAAATTGTTGTTTTGAGTCATGATCCAGTAGTCCTCT